GCAGATGAGGGTCAAGCAACTGACCAATTCATTCTTTATGTTCTTAATCGGCGCAACTGCTCATAAACGTCAACAGTTGCTGGTGCTGTTGATCACAACAGCTACCTGTAAAATATCATTGGCCAAAGTTGATGAATTATCATGCTGGAAATTTCTCCCACAAAGAAATCCGGCTAAACCATCTTCCTATTAATATTTATGATGTGTAAAAATTATGACAAATTTATTCCGATTATTATTAAATTTACAATCGTGTGCGAGTTTTTTCATCTCAAAAAATTAAGCGTCCAATGATCTTGTTTAAATGGAGGTAACAATGGTAAACAGCTCTCTAAAATGACATCTGTAAATTTTAAACTAAGTTTCTGCTGTTTGTAAATCAGGGTTCGCTGAGGCCTTTTAAATCATATGAACGCATAGTTCATAAGTATTTTTCTGTCTAGTATTGCTCACCATGGTCCAAGCTGAATTTTTTGCAAGTCGTCTAATGGCTGCACAATTCTCGCCTGGTTAAGCAAGGGCACTCCGGGATTAGATATTGCTGAAAAACTTTAGGAATCAGTAATAGATTGTACGCAGATGTTGGTTTCGAACCCGCAACTTGAATAGGCGTTGAATGAAAATAAACTGTCACAACTCATCAACAAACAATATGTGACTAATCAAGTGGAAGTGTCCTAATGCACAGAAATGGCTCCATCTGTATTACGTCCAGAATATGACGTTTTAAAGAAAAACACTGAAAAATATACCGCCCTCTCAGTTCCTCGTGCTTGATCAGTTTATTAGCAGCCTATTTTCTTTAGCCGAGTGCAGATGAACTCTGACGAGGAACGGGTAAGACAGTCCACCGATAGAGCTTCGTACGAATGGGGTCACCCTTGTAAAGACTACGAGTACCCAAATACTCGAAAGTCGCTTCCTTGAAGTTAACGTATAATGGATAGTTACGGACGATCATCAATGACTGACCCAGATTACAGGTTGCTTTGGTAACTGTTGTTGCGATTCGCTGAATTATTTCATTGAAGCCAATTCTGCTGATGCGGAACATCGTCAACATCGTTTCTCTGAGTTGTCCGTCGTCTGTACTCAACAGGGCCCCAGCAGATATGACGGGGACAGCATAAGTGAAGGATTGCACCAGGCACCCGAAGATAAATAAACGGACTAACTCCATAAATGGGCAGAGCGGTAGCCAGTGAATGGAAGGGGATAATTCAATCCCGTATATAGTTTCAACAATGCAGAGAGTCACAACGCCTAGTAGGAAAACTTTACTTGGAAGCCAACCTTCCGGACAATATTCATATTGACAGATGTCATTCATTTCAACATAAGCGGAAGCAGCTATACAGTATTAAATAAATTTTCGCGCAGCTTAACATTGCTAAGAATATCTTAGGACGGATATTTAGTACACAAAGAAGATTGAGCTTCAGAACTTTGTAGGCTTTTCGCATATCCTAAACATCACGTGTTTTCTTGATCTTATTCAATCTCGAAGTCAGTGATCATTAGTCCATACCATTCACATACGAGACGTTTCACCTAGTGCCGGTTTAATGCCAGGTGATTTGTACGATGAACAGAAATCTATTCTGTATCCTTAGTTTAATGTAAGGTAAATGATTAGTGATGATGTCAGATTTCGTATTCCTTTTGGGGAGGGTGGGTTAATGTTATATCTGACGAAGAGCAGAAACATTTGATATTAAATCGTGCGAATCGTCAGTATCGATTATCTGTGTATAACATGTTTAGTGATTCTGGAGCTGGTCGATTTTGTGGATTTTGCTCATAAATCTTTGATTGACATACATGTTTGAGAAAGGCTATGTCAATTTTTGAATGTTAAACGTTAACTAATTGATCATGATCTCTAAAACATGCTGCTTTTCTGCATATGAAAAACGTATATATAGTTAATTAATAAATCAATAGCAGTTAAAGGAACACTGCAAAGTTTTGAACGAAATGTTTATACGGACCTGCCGAAAACCACCGTAGAGTTATGGCCGTTGGAATGTCGGTTTCCGTCGCACTTCGATGATCGGTCGAGTCCGGCTCCCTTCTTTTCGAAGGGTGCTGATCTTCATGTCCATGTCAGCAGTGTCTTATGTTAAGGATGGAGCCAAAATTATCTGTTTGATCATCATAGCGAGTAGTGTCATGTCTTCGTCCTGCAGACTGGTACTCATTTATCAACCTCAAAAATAACGCCACTGGCCCGATCGCGGCTCCAGTACGGGGCCTCTAGGCTTTGAGTCGAAAAATCTACCTACCCACTGACACCAACCTAGCTCTGAAACAACATGTGGCAAATTCCTCGTTAAGTAGAATGCCTTGTCAAGATAAAGATTGCCCATCGTCAGATTGTACGTGATACTGTGCCACCACGCCATGCCAAAGGGATGTTCCAAAAGCACACATCTTTGATAGGCAGTGAAAACTCACGTCCCAACGGTTACAATTTTTCTTTCCCATTTGATTTATTCAAGATGAACATGTTGATCATGCTTAATAGAAAATGAGTAAAGCGTTCTGTGTATCGGCACCACATGCAAACATGCGTTTACAAGTAAGAGTTCGTATTCACAAAGGTCGGTAAGAATAGCTTTTAAGTTATTTCTGTGGTATCACATTTACCGGTCCATCGTTCACTTA